TTTTTTAATAGTCTGCATCAGCATCAGCATCTGCATCACCATTTCAATCTACATGGTACAGTGAATCTGAGATAACTCAGGGTCCACGCTCAAGATCACAAAATCAGCAAAGGGATCATGATTCAAAAAGACCTAAACTTTCTTGTACAAATTGTACAGCTACCTCATCTGGGAGAAATATTGGAAGTGGTTTAAATGCAGTATCAGGTAAGCTCATTATATGAATATTTTAGCATAACTGTATTTAGGTTTTGTATTAAATGGTTTTGTATAAGACTGGATTTGGAAATGCAGTGTAGTTTCTGAAATTCTGCCTTGTTAGTGGTAAAAATGAAATTAACTCTTCGTTTTGCCTTTTTAACAACATAGTTAGTAGACTTTAATTAGAATAGTTTTTGGTGTCCTTTTTGTTCTTTTTGTTTGTTTGTTTTACGTTTTGAGACAGGGTCTTACTAAGTAGAACTCTGACTGACCTTGAATTCGTGGTGTAGACCAGCTTGCCTTTGCCTCCTATGTGCTGGAATTAAAGACGTATGCTACCACACCCAGCCCTAGAATAGCCTTGTATATAGTAATCAAACTGGTAAGTCATGTTAGTTCTTATTGTGAGAGATAATAGATGTTAACCATTTCCTCAGCATGTCGTTTGGAATAAGTATTATGGCATATGGTACTTCTTTTCAGAAAACATGGAAACTCTTAATTGAAAAAAAAGAAGTTGGTCTTGTCCTTGTAAGAGTTCTACATAAAGAATTAAAAAGTCATTTGGGCATGGTGGTACCTTTAATGCCTTTAATCCCAGCACTGGGAGGCAGAGGCAGAGGCCAGCCTGGTCTACATAGTAAGTTCTAGGTCCACCAGGGCTACATGGTGAGACCTTGTTTCCACCCAAAAAAAGAGAATTGGAAAGTCATGATTCTCACAATCTGTAAAATATACAAGAGTAGCATTGGACCACCATACATAGTTTTTCTTAAAGTCCTGTGCCTTTTGTTTATTACTCAGGTTTACATATTAATAACAACAACAACAACAACAAAAACATTTTGTTGAGAAAGCAGGAAATTGCCTCCTCACTTAAAATCCTCTACAAATGAAATACTAGCCAATACTTAAAATTACTTTAAAGGGAGACAAAATTTATAACATAATTGTAGATAAAAAAATGTTATAAACAGTATCTTATTTTATGTAAGTATGAGTGTTTTGCCTACATGTAAGTACACCTGTGTCATGCAATATCCAGAAGGGGGCATACCGACTGTTCTTAGCTGCTTTGTGGGTACTGAGAACCAAACCCCAGTCTTCTGCAAGAGCATCCAGTGCTCTTAACCCCTGAGCTATCTTTCCAGCCTCTAGATAAAATTTAAAAAATGCTTATACATTATCAATTGAATTAGTGTAAGTGATTCCTGTCTATTTTGGTAGACAGGACCTCTATGGAAAAGACACTGCCTATCAGAAGGATATTAAAAGTAGTGAGATAGGTAAGAGCAGACTGACCTTAACTTTGTAGACAAACAGTACTATGCAGAGACATTTTTTTCTCTTATGCTATATGAAGTTGAAATATTAAATACACTGGTCCTTTCAGTTTAGAGGAATTATAAAAGCTAGGAAAGGAAGACTCAATTTCAAGGTAAATAATGTGGGGCAGTAGGTTCGAGAATTAATTTTAGTTTAGTTGTAAGTGAAATCATATCTAATAAAATTTGGAGTATAATATGGAATGAACCAAATGTGGTGGCAATGAAAATATTTCTCAGACTGGGGTTATAGCTCACTGATAAAGTATATGGTTAGAATGTGTACATGCTTGGGTCCATCCAATCCCCTGATAAAACTATTTATCCTGTAATTCAACTTCCATATCAGAATGGCTTTGATTTTGATTTTGTTGGTTTTCCATCATCACTTGGGCTTTTTTTGTGAAATTCTGTGCCTTTGCAAGATTTGCAGTTTTGATATATAATTATTTTAACCTTGTGCTTATGTTGCACATTGATCAGTGTGTACAGAGTGACTGAGACATTTACAGAGTATGTCTGAGGATAAATTTCAGTGTTAAGGATATATTTATTTAGCATGCATAGTTTATCATTTCTTAGGCCCTGGGTTCAATCCCTAGCACCAAAAATTAAGAATGTTTGAGTAGAAAAGTATTTGCAAATGATTAGTTCATTACTAAGTAATTTTGTGTTGCTGAATTTTGCATGTGATTGCACCTATGTAAATTGGAATTCCTATAATATTGTTACTTCTTCTGTATTACTGAAGATATACTGTCATCAGAAACCTTTGAAAACTTCTCTGAAATAAAATTTTTTCCACTATTTTAAGATTCTTCTTGGAGGCATAGTCAAGTTCCGAGATCTTCATCGATGGTACTTGGTTCATTTGGAACAGACTTACTGAGAGAAAGGAGAGATTTAGAGAGGAGAACAGACTCCTCCATTAGTAATCTTATGGATTATAATCACCGAAGTGGTGATTTCACAACTTCATCATGTATGTATAAACTGCATTATTAAGTATAGCTTATGTATTAATGTCAAATTATCTTGAAGGGCTGGAGTGATGGCTCATGGTTAAGAGCACTGGCTTCTTTTGAAGAGAACCCAGGTTCAGTTCCCAGCACCCACATGGCAGCTAGCAACTGTCTTAACTCCATTTCCAGGGGGATCCAGTGCCCTCTTCTGACCTTCACAGGCATTGCATGACATGGGTGCACTTACATACATATAGGCAATATACTCATACACATAAAAGTATCTTCTTGATGCCATTAATAGCAGTACAATAAAGTAAATGAAATAAATCTTAAGTTGTTATGAAGATTTCCAGACAGCCTAATGTTTTTTAGTAGCTTTTTTGTTGTTTAAAGAAATAGAAACAATTTAAAACTCATGAGTATTCAGATTCTACCTACCTGTTAACTTCTACCTTTTTCCTCTTAATGAATGTACATGTTAATAAAGTAATGCTTCGTAATTCTTACATTCAAAAGTATGATTTGCCTATAACGTTTTTCTAATTGAATGAGATAACCATTTCAACTCCCATTTTAAGGCATAATATAGAATTTCTTAGTATAACATGAATGTACCTTTTCGTTAACATTTCATAAAGATATGTGGTTTCTGCCACTGTATACAGACTTAAGCTTTTCAGAAACAATCCCATTAAGTGGAAGGAAAAAGTACTATCAGAGTTCACAAAAAGTTCATAAACTTCACAAAAGTAGCATGCAGAACTGGAGTTTGTATTTAAGTTACTTTAAATCAAAGTACAAGAGAGGAATAGATATAGGCCCTAATAGGTTATCCTTCTAGGAGGCTCCAGAGTAGTAGATACAGTTCTTCACAATGTGTATAGTTGAGTGGTTTTCACAAGGGAATACTATGGTGTTTTTCATTCCTCTCTAAGATTGAAAGTACCAGTTAGGGAGTTCTGTTTTGTTTGTTTTGAGATAGGGTCCTGCTGTATAACACAAACAGGCTTGGAACTATGTGATCCTCCTACCTGTGCCACCCAGGTGCTGGGCATGTGCTGTCACGCCCTGGTTTTAATAATGCAGCTGTCAGAGGCGTATACTGACTCGTAGTTACAAGCCAGTATTAAAAGGCAAGGGTGTATCTGATCAGTAGCCACTGCTGTTGATTTTAAAAATTGGAGAAATTCTTAGCTATTAGCAAGGTTTATATAAAGTTATATGGCTATTAATACTTAAGTAATTTCTGTATTTATTGTATAGAGTAAGACTCTCCAAAACAATTTCCCTGGTGTGGTTTTGCTTTTAATCATTGTATTTTATTTGGACTAAAGTTATGTATCAGTTTAGATGCTTAGATATGCTTCTGTTTTATCAGTTTCACATTGTCATTTTATTTATTTATTTATTTATTTAGTTATTTTTTTTGAGACAGGGTCTCAGCTGGCCTGAACTCCTGCCTCTGCCTCCCGAGTGCTAGGATTAAAGTGTGCATAACCATGCCCATCCCTGTCATAAGCTTTCATACTTGGTTTTAAATTTGTAATGTTGACTTGAAGTATGCAAGAAGCACATTTATATTTTTTTACTATATATATATGTATATATATATTTTACTATATAATTAAGCTTTCTAGTTACAAGATAGCAGTATTCAGTTTGAACTATTAGAATTTGGCAGTAGTCAATAAATGTGAGTTTAACAGTACTTAAATTATTTCATAATTGGTTACCTTTCCTTCTTTCAAAAATAGATGTTCAAGAAAGAGTTCCTTCTTCGTATTCACAGGGAGCAAGACCAAAAGAGAACTCAGTGAGCACTTTACAGTTGAATTCATCATCCACCAACCACCAGTTGCCTTCTGAACATCATACAGTACCAAGTTCTAGGAGCTCCAACAGAAATTCTTTCAGATCACATTTTTCTCCAAGACAATCAGAATCTTTTCGTAACAGTTCGCACCCTGCATTTTCTTATATTTCAGGTAGAGATGAAACTCCAACTATAAGCAATTCAGAAAGGGGTGGTTCATCTCAAAGATCATTTCCAGAGTCTTCTGACAATGAAGGTAGGCGTACAACCAGGAGATTGCTGTCACGTATAGCTTCTAGTATGTCATCTACTTTTTTTTCACGAAGGTCTAGTCAGGATTCCTTGAGTACAAGATCATTGAATTCTGAAAATTCTTACATTTCTCCAAGAACCGTAACTTCACAGTCTCGAAGTAATGGAACATCAACTTCTGAAGTTAATGACAGTAGGGCATCTGAAGCTTCTCAGGGATTTCGATTTCTTAGGCGAAGATGGGGTTTGTCATCTCTTAGCCAAAATCATAGCTCTGAGCCAGATTCAGAAAATTTTACCCAAGAATCTGAAGGTAGAAATACAGGACCGTGGTTATCTTCCTCACTTAGAAATAGATGCACACCATTATTCTCTAGAAGGAGGCGAGAGGGAAGAGATGAATCTTCAAGGATACCTACCTCTGATGTACCATCTAGATCTCATATTTTTAGAAGAGAATCAAATGAAGTAGTTCACCTTGAAGCACAGAGTGATCCCCTTGGAGCTGCTGCCAACAGACCACAAGCATCTGGAGCATCAAGCAGTGCTTCTGCGGGTGGCTCCACACCAGATTTGGCTCAAGGTGGAAGAAATACAGGAATAACGGGGTTTCTTCCCGGTTCCTTATTCCGATTTGCAGTTCCACCGGCACTTGGAAGTAATTTGACCGACAATGTTATGATTACTGTAGATATTATTCCTTCAGGTTGGAATTCATCTGATGGAAAAGGTGATAAAGCTAAAAGTGCACCTTCAAGAGATCCAGAAAAATTGCAGAAAATAAAAGAGAGGTAAATTTTAATGTTCATCCTCAGCTTTAAAACTATAAGAAAGAGCTTTTAAAATAGCACTCACAACATTAATATCTGAAATTTCCTTAAATTTACATGTATATGATGTTATGTCTTCAAAATAAATGGATGGTAACTAGTAATGAGTTAGTTTCGGGGGTGTGAACTATATCAAGAAACAATCCAAAGGAATTCTTAAATTGACTTCATACACATAGACATAAGACAAAAGTCTTAATGTCTTATGTTTGTTATTCTATGGTTAGACAACCTCTAAATGCGATTGGAAAGAAGAACCAAACTCATCATGAATTGCCAATCTATATATTAGCCTTTACTAAGTTGATATGTTACTGTTTATATTTCTCACAGTTTCCTTTTTAAGATTTTACCCTGGGCTGTTTGCCTGATTTTTAAGCTTACTGCTTTTTCTTATATAAAGATTTATTCTTTCCTGATAATATTAGCTTTAAAATTTTGCTCATTTTAGAGACTTAACTAATTGTAAGCTATCTTCTAAGCAATGTAGTAAATTACATTTCTTGCCCTTTAAAGTTAGGTTATTTGAGTGCATAAGTAACAGGCGAAGTTTTATTGATGTTTATTGAGAAACAGATTAGTCTTGTACTGCTCTGTGTGGTTAAGTGGTTTTAAAACGGCATTTGGGGGTTATTTTGCTATAGTTTGTGACATGCGTATTTGGTGTACTTTGCCTCATTTATGAGGATTTTAAGGCTGGAGCAATTAAATTAGTAAAAGCCTAGAAAAGTTGAATCTACTAAATGAAAAGTAATTGAATTTTTGAAAGGAAGACTGTTGAAGATAAAATAGTTTATACTTAATGTCATGTCTAATTAATTAAGCTAGGGTAGAAAGTCACCTTATAATTATATATCTGTCTCCATAATTTTTTTGCCAAGTTTACTAGGAACACATGTCACCCAGATTGTATTTCAGTAGAAGGTCCTCATTCAGTATTGCTAGTTTACTGAGTATCTCATCTGTGCTGGTAGTGTACTAACAAAATAAGAATTTTATCAGAAAAGTACTTTACTTATTATGCAACTGTTAATCCACATTTAACCGGTACATATTGGCCTGTAAAATGGAGGACAGGGGTTAATTAAAAACTGTTCATGCTTTAAAAGCTTTCCCTTATAGAAATGAAAATAATTTAATAAGATCAGTGAGAGTGGAGTAGTGGAGGATTTTTTAAATCAATTTTTCAGTTTTGTTCCAATCAATACAAAAAGTTCATCAATTTTGGTAATGTGTAAAGGAGAAGCCTAATGTAAAATTTTACTTAGTTTATTGAAATATCTTGATTTTTTTTTTTTCAGGTATTGGGGACAAAATGTATGTGCATGAGTTTCCTTTATAGTATTGGATTAAAATCTCTGTGAAAAAGATAGAACCTTACACTGTTAACAAAGATGAAAGAGCATCATCTGAAGAGAAATGATAGTATAGCTGGTTTCATTTACCTTTAAAATACACTTTTATTAATAGTGAAAGGAACTTTCATGGAGGTTACTAATTATTGTTGCTTCTTGTTTACTGTTTTCTTTTGGACTTGGTGTGAGTAGAAATGAAAAAAAAAAAAAATGTATCACTGGAAGTGGACAACTAGGATGAATTTTGATAGCCCTGACAGTTGTGCTTTCATTTCCAGCCTTCTTTTAGAGGATTCAGAAGAGGAAGAAGGTGACTTATGTAGAATTTGTCAGATGGCAGCTGCTTCATCCTCTAATTTACTGATCGAGCCATGCAAATGCACAGGAAGTCTACAGTATGTCCATCAAGAGTGTATGAAAAAGTGGTTACAGGCCAAAATTAACTCTGGTAAGATTCACTTTTCTGAATATTTTATTTCAAATCTTTGAGATATATATGTGTATGCATTTAGACTTAACTGTTTATAATTTATTATTAAATTTACTTATCAAAAGTATCAGCTGTTTTTTAATTCTCTGCAAAAGAGTCTTATTATAAACATTATTTCTTTTGTTACCTTCTTCATACATGTACAGTACAACTATAATTTGAGATTATTGGTGACTCTGTGGTGTAAAAAACCCTTTGAGTCAAGAACACTCACTGTTTACCAGGTTATGTGTCTGAAAAGATTTATTGCCATTGTGTCACTTAGCAGTTCTGTTGGGATTCATTTGTTCATTGTGTACTGGTTGGAGTTGGGCATAATTTCAGATGTGGGATTTATAGCCCAGTAAACAAGACAGGCAAGGTATCTGCTCTGTGATAGTAGGTGATATTGGTTATTATGGGAATGCTTTTCTTCAGTGACAGCTTCCAGTCTTAGAGCTTTACAATAAGGAATTGGCTTCAAGAAGGAGAAAAACATGCAAATAGAGATCAGCTAATAAAAGTATTTTAAGGTAAGGAGGACTTAGGTATATTTGAAGAATTGAATGGTGTACAATATGACTGGCATATTAATTAATATGGATAAACCTTCAGATGAAACAGTTGAAATAAAAGGTTAGTTAAGCTAGTTCATGCAAGACTTTTAAAGATCCTAAAGCTTAGATTTTTATGTAAGTATGATAGAAGCCACTGAAAAGGGGGTGGGGAATGTAATGATCTTATTTTTATTGACTGCTCTGGAGAAAAGATTTCAGGGGAAGAGACGATTGGGAGCAGTGAAACTAATCATAGTCTATTCTAGAAATACTAGAGTTGATGGTAGTTGACATGATATTGGTGTTCGTGATGATAGAAGTGGGTAGATTTTGGTATGTTTTGGAGGTGAATTCACTTAATTTTTCCAGTGAATTAGGTCCAATAGGATAAGATGAAGAATAGAGAACATCTCATTTTTGCCTTGATCAAGTAAGTAAATGATTAGATCTTTTTTTTTTTTTTTTTATGTGTATGAGTGTTATGCCTACATATATGGAAGTGCACCCATGTCGTGCACTGCCCATGCAAGACAGAAGAGGCTGTCAGATCCTCTGGAACTGGAGTTACGGACAGTTGTTAGCTGTCTGTGGGTGCTGGGATTCGAACCTGGGTCTTTCTTCTGCAAGAACAGTGTTCTTAACTATTGTGCCATCTCTCCAGCCCATGATTAGATCTTTTAGTGAAATAAGAAAGCTGGAAATAGAATCATATTGCAACAGGTGACCTAGGAGTTCTGTTTTAGACATAGACTGTTATTGGAATTTCATTTTAGGTAACCATGGAAAAACTATTATTAGAATTTCATTTTAGGTAACCCATAGAAGCCTCAAATAGGCTATTATTTAGACAAGCCTTGACATTTCACTTGGAGAAAGACTTGGTGTCAAAGAACAAGGCTAGGATAAAACTGTGGGACACCCAAACATTTAGTGAGAGTAGAGAAAGATTTGAGAAATAGTCTCTACAGTCAAACTGGTCATAAGAAGCTAAGAAAATGATATGTTGAATAAGCCAAAATAATTGTATTGAGGATGGTGATCAGCTCAATATTGCCAAGGGTTGAAATGGGCTAAGGACATAACTCAGCCAGGTCAAATACTTGCTGTGCAAACTTGAAAAACTGAGACTAGATCCCCAGTACCCTTGTAAAAATATGGCATGCCACCAGGCATAGCACTGGGATTTTGGAGACAAGCACATCCCTGGAGCTCACAGTCTATTCAAATCCAAGAACTTTAGATTAAGTGAGCCTCAATAAGATGGAGAGTGTGATAGAGGAAGACATATGATATTAATCTCTGCTCTCCATGTGTACATACACATGCCACACATGCATAAAACATTTAAAAAATAATCAGTGAAAATGACAGGATCGATAATAAGGATGTTAAAGGGGGAGACTGCAACACAGATGCCTTTTCTACAAACTGTGAGATACAAGAAACAATCAGTATTATATGGACTAATGGAAAGTGTTTGTTTCTTTGTTTAAGATAGGAAATCATCAAGTATGTTTTTGAGAAGCTGATGGAGAGGAATTAAAACGCTATGAAATGACAGGATGGGATCTAGGGCATATGTTGAATGGTTACTCTTTACTAGGAGAAAAATAATTCATTTCTAGAAAGCCATATTCTTAGGCATGTTGTTCAGATTGTTGTTTCAGTAGGAGAATGCATGACCTCCTACATAGTGTTTCTAGTTTTTTAGGGAAGTAACGTCTTTTAATTGAGGGATAGGTTAGGAGGTCTTTAGATCCTGGGGATAGGTTAGGAGGTCTTTAGATTCTGAAGTTGAGTTAGTAAGATTTTTAGGCAATTTTAGTATCCATAAAATGATTTTAGAGAAGGGGGGAATATGGCTTAATAGCAGAAGATTTGCTTCACATTTGTGAGGTCCTGAGTTCAGTACTGACCACTCCCAAAATATAGAATAATAAAGTCAAACACATGCAGTTTTTAAAAAGTGGTTTACAAATTCTTGGATGTAGACCTAGATTGGTGTGTATAGGGGTTGGGTCCTTTGCTAGGTAAATAGTAAAGAGAGTTAACATAATTGTAATGATTGTGGGACTTAATCAGGAAGAGAATAAGATACCACACTCTTGAGTAATGTCATAGTATGGTGTTAGAGAACTGCTGGGGAATAGGAATTTTTCGGTTTCAGTGTATTCTTATGGGATCACTGTTGCCTCAGTATTCTCTTGTTGACTAAACAAATAACCTATTTTCTCAGATTTGTATGTTTTCTTTTCTTAAGCTGTTTTTATTTAGAAAAGATGTTCTTACTTTCTGAGTCTCAAATCTCTGTTAATTGGCACAAATTCACTCCAAAGAATGTGAGGGAAATTGAACTGAAACTTTACTGTTATTCAAAACTTACTTGAATTTAGGCCCTTGTTCAATTGATAGTCTTATCCACAAATTAAATGCAGCACAGCCTGCATATATATTTAGACTATTTCCTACTAAATTGGAGCTACTAGCTTATAGCAATCAAGTGTTGAGTGCACATGGAAGAAGTTTTTTCCTTTTTTTAAAGAAATTATGACTATATGATGTGTACACAAGAAAATTAACCATTTTGATTATTACAAAGTAAGTAATTTTCAGAACTTTCTTATCACCCAAGGTAGATTTACTCAGTAAACAGTAACTCTCTGCTCATCTTCTGACCAATCCCCAGTAACTTTTGGTATATTTTCCTATCCTAGTTAAAAGACATAAATAGAATAGTAAAATATTTATCTTTTTATATATCTTATTAGCATGTCTTCAAGGTTGAGTCATGCTATAGAAGGCATCAGGACTTAATTCCACTTATGGCTGAAGTGAGCTGTTTTAATCTGGGCAACAGTACATCCCCTTTCTCCTCTCTTAGCAGAGCAGGTGCATTCCTTGGACTACACACAAGGTCTTTGCAGATGTATGCTGTGATATCAACAGTACTGGCCTGTGTACATTGCTAGTTTGAGATACTGTGTCATTAAACATTACTTTGATAACATGCCAGCATACTTCAGGAGGAAGTAGGAAGTACAGATGACATTCCATTGCCTCATCAGCTTCCTGTAATCAGAGAATGCATGAGTTATCTAGGAGGAAAAAAAAAACAGGTATCTAAATGATGGGTGGAGGCATAAATGTCACAATGCAGAACATGATGTGCACATTTGGTATTATACATCATTGTTTTTGGAGAGATAATTGCAGTATTGTAATCTTATCTTTCATCCTTTTATAATCCCTATTTCAAGTTTTTCTGTATTGTAAACCTTAAACATAGGATGAAAAAGCTTTTCTTGTCACTTGATTTTTGCCAGGTTCTTCATTAGAGGCTGTAACTACCTGTGAACTCTGTAAAGAGAAGTTGCAACTTAACCTGGAGGATTTTGATATTCATGAACTACATAGAGCTCATGCAAATGAACAAGTTAGTATATTTTGCCTAATTTGGTAAGTGTCTGTTGTAAGCTTAAAGGAGAGCTCTTGAAGAAAAGATTAAGTCATGGTCAGAAAATTTATATTAATAATAATACTTAACATAATTTTTATGATATTAGGTGTTTATAATTTAATAATTTTTCATTAATATTTTCCTTTAAGTGAAAGACTAAATTAAGATGAACTATCATACTTTATAAATAAACCAAAAAATAATAAAAACGGGAAAGTCCTTAACTCCAGGTCCAGGGGAATCCAAAACTCTCTTCTGACTTCCGTGGCATTGCACGATATGGGTGCACTCACATACATGCAGACAATACACTCATACACATAAAATAAAAATAATAAAATCTTTTTTTAAAAAACAGGAAAGTGGATGCAAAGTAGTCGTGTCAACCTTATTTCCTCAGCATTGTAATTGATTTAATGATTCAGTTGGAAGAACAACTACAGGAAAATCCTGGGGAAGTATTTGTGATTAATTAGACGGACAATTTCATTATTCTGAAAAGAGATCCAGTAGTCATTACTCATTCGCTTCTCATGCCCTTCTCCTAGTCCCTGGCCTTTACCAACCTGTGTTCTATTTTATAGATTTACCTATTTGGGATAATTTATATTAAGGAAATCATACAATATAAGGTATTTTATGAACAGCCATTATTTTAAAATGTAGACAAGAGAACTAGAGTGGCTCAGTGGTTAAGAGCACTAACTGTGACAGAGGACCTGAATTCAATTCCTAGCACCTGTGTTAGGTAGCATATAACTGCTTATAACTCCAGCTCCAGGACATCTGATCCCTGTGTGGCATCTGAGGACACTGTACTCACTTTCATATCTGTACACATTCACATAATTAAAAAAATAATAAGTCTTTTAAAATGTGGGAAAAATAGATACCCTTTGAAAATCTGGTTAAGCCTATAGTCTTACAAAATAAAAACATAAATTCTGAATATAATTTACGGGACTCTCAGTTTGGAAGTTATTGCTTAAATCAAGATTTAAGAATAACTGATCTGAAAAATGAAATATTACACAGTTGATAGAATATAAGTGTTATTTAATGCCAGTTGTAATTCTGTTCCATTCTTTAATGATCTGGTTGTCCAAAAAGAACATCATTTCAGTACAGAAATGTCTTAATCCCTAAGGAATCTATAGACAGCTGAATCTGATATTTTAAAGGACAGGGAAAATAAGAAACATGTAATGATGCAGAAAAATGTATTTTTGTCTTCAAGTTAAGAGGAGGGTTCAGAAAGTTATTTTCTCTTGCCACTTTTAGATGTTCATGCTCTCTCTTAGAACCAATTCATAAGTTTTCATTAAGGGAGGATTTTTATTTAGTTGTTTTAATGACCCATACTCTTACATAATGAAGAAATGTTAAGGGATACTGGGGGTATCATTTTAAAGACATTAACTTATTTTATGGAAATCATGAAGTGTAGTGACAAGTTACCATATTTCAAATGATTGGTTTAATACAAATTTATTCCTCATTTCCCTGTGATTTACTCTTTTGCAAGGTGATAACCATGTATACAAAAAAACAAACTTCTTTTTTGGGGCACAGATTCCCAGTTATGTAGCCCTGGCTGGTCTGGAGCTTACTGTGTAGATCTGGCTGGTCTGGAACTCAGTGAGCCACCACATCTGGCCTAACCATGTAAATTTTTTTAAAAAATCAGTGTAAGATTTCCTTTTCAGTTTAAAAAAAAAAATCAAAATAGGCATTTAAATAATTTCAAATTCTTAAATTATCCATACAATCTGATGAATAATTACTAAAATTTGTATTGACATACGATTCTTAATTTCAGATGTGTTCATTACCCAAAGCAGGTGCAATTGACCTTTTTACTATAAAATTTTTTTTTAATTTGATTTTTAATTTGCAGTATTCTAATTTATATTTATAGCTATGTGCTTATAAGGTGGAATGATTGCCTGGCACCACCAAAAGTGACAAGAACTTAAAAAGATAAAGAGTGGGGACACAATAGTTTTGAAACATAACTTACTTTTAACCAATTATAATTTCTCTGTGTTCCTTTTCCAACATGCATCCTACCCCCGAAAAACAACAACAACAAAAAAAACAGAAATACTTTATCTGTGTAGATTTGCGTTATTGTTGCCTTTATGCTGATGAATTCACAAGAAACACTACTGCTGTCACATTAGGTATAAATTATAGATCTGCATTATAGATTTAGGTTAAATGAAATGGTAATTTTGAGGTAGGCACAAATAACTATTAGTCATTTGTAAAAGGGGAGGTCTGTGGTGAGGTTTATAGGAAATAAAAACACTCTTTATCTCAGGAAATTGTTTAAAAGATAAACTTTTATACAAATGATTAAAAGGAGACTGAGAGACTAAGGATTTATGCCATTAATAAATTTTTAGGGCATTATGTAAGGTTGCATTATATTTCTTGGTTTAATAGATGATACTGCATATCTTAACTAGGATCTAGGTCCAAATACATTTCCTTTTTATTTATCAGTAAATTTTGACTGCAGTCACAATTCTAATTTTTCATTCTCCGTTTCTTCTCTTTGCTTCCCTGTTGAAGGCTGAGTACGAGTTTATCAGCTCTGGTCTCTACCTAGTTGTGCTACTGCACTTGTGCGAGCAAAGCTTTTCTGATATGATGGGAAACACAAATGAACCAAGCACACGTGTCCGAGTAAGTAATGCTGGATTTGGGGAGAGAGGGAGGGTATCATATAACAAGTATTTGTCTTGAAAAGCAAATTTGTTATGTGTTCATACCCTGTTTCTTAACAATAAAGATAACTGTAGATTTAGCAGAAATTGCTGTCTTCTACAAGTGTCCTAATTTTTTCATAGGCTGCTTGGATAAAAATGTGATATTCTAGCTTATTTCAGAGAAAAACAGGGACAGAATTAGAAACAGAAAGGGAAAAATGTTCTTTTAAATTAATCCACAAAGAAAACCTTCAGCATTACATCTTAGAAACATGAAATTGAGTTACAAAAGCCAAAAGCATTTGGAAAAATGAACTTTAGTTTCTTAGTTGTTGTTCTATAAAAGATTACACTTGTACTAATGAGTGTGTCAGTATTATAAACTAAGATACAAACTAGTTTATATAAACTATATTACTACTAGCTGTACATTTAGACTAGCTTTTTGTTATTTGTAATTAATCAATGCTTTTTGCTCATTGTAGGAAAGGAAACACTGCTGCCTTGGCCATTTTTTGTAGCAGGGCCTCTGATCAGTCTTGTTAACTGCAACAGTCTAAACACGTCTTATCTAGATATAAGTTCATAACATGCTAAAATATATAACAAAATTGCCTTTTTTATAACTTTAAGTATATAAAGCATAGAATGTTAAAGGTGTATTTTTATTTAAATTATGAAAAATATAATTCAAAATATGTTGCTTCTAAGTTAATAAAACCCTTTTATATATTTTGTTATGTGTCTATTGTAACTGTGATCCAGTTGACAGTTATTATCATTAAGAGCAAAGAGAACTATTAAGAGCAATCATAATTATAGCACATATCTCAGTTTCTAAGAACTTGAGCCCCTAATTGTAGTTAATGGCCATAAAAAGGTGTGTTAATAACTCTGTGAATGAAGAAAGTATGTAAAGCATATAAGGTCTATTGAATTCATTCTTTTTAAGGAAGTTAATATTCATAGGATTAAAGTGAAAGTCGTTAAATACATTTCTGTAGCTATCAGATTTAGGCAGGCACATTTCAATTCATTTGTGTCAAAATAGAAGTTTTTGTTTCTTCTCGTAATTTTTTAAAGTTACATAGAAAGGCAGTATCATTGGATACAATTATTTGTGTCTGCTCCCAATTTCATGAGACTGGTTTCCATGTTATTAATAATATAAAACATGTAGCATAATGCCCTTAATGTTATAATTTTTGTTGTTGGGCTGAGAAAGACCCCTGCTTAAATGATTAAAATGGTGTTTGAATTTTTAAGTAGAAATAAAATCTCCTATACTGATTCTCTCTTCAGATCCATTTGCAACATTTAAACTACTGTATTTCTTTCTGCATTGTTTCTAGTTTATTAACCTTGCAAGAACTCTTCAGGCACATATGGAAGATCTCGAAAGTAGGTGGAATTTCCCCTCTCCAGACTTGTTGAATTTACTTTGCAAATTAAATTCACAGAACAAAACCTAAGTATATATACTCTTTTCTGCCAAATTAAGCTTTCGTTATAGGCTTAATAATACCAAAATTACTGATAATGGGTTTGACATTTGACACTAGTTTTTCTAATGTATTTTTAAAATTATACTTAAGGTATGGAAGGATGTAATTTCAACCTAGTATTTTAAAATAAATCACTAACTCTGATTTTAGTATTTGTCACCCAAATAGAAGACATAAACATAGCTCTTAAGTCATAGCTTTTAGGAATTTTTCTTTTTTTAATATAAAAGGAAATTTTCTTTTTATTCACCTTTTCTAAATCTTGAAAGATTTTCCTTAGACTTGTGTATGGTTCCAGGAAAATAAGGAAGAGAGACTCCTGAGTACATAGTAACCAAGGATTTGTTTGTTTGTTCCTTTTTACTTAAAGTTCTTTGGGGACCTTTATTACTATGTAGGGAACTCCAGTTTCTTCATATCACATTCCAGCGTTAAGACTTTGGTCAGGCTCTTTAACTGAAGGTTCATAATTCCCAAGTCTTGTCTTCTCATTGTTTTATAACAACAGAAATTGGCTCTAGAACAGTTTCTGGGGAATTCAAGATTAAACGTGCCTGATTCCCTACTTGTTAATTTTTCACCAAGAGCAACAGGCTTCTAGTACACTCTGAAGTGTTTTAAAATATGTATTCTTGCCAGACATGGTGGTACACCCCTTTAATCCCAGCACTTGGGTGGCAGAGGCAGGCCGATCTATGTGAGTTTGAGACCAGCCTGGTCTTCCTAGTGAGTTCCAGGACAGCTGGGGCTGCAGGGAGGCCCTGTCTCAAAAAGACCAAAAAAAAAAAAAAAAAAAAAGTATCCTCTTAATTATTTTGCAAATGCCTTCAAAATACTTGGAGTATTATCTGTAGTATGTGTAACGTTGCCTTTAGAGGAAGCTCTGCATCTTTTGAAGATAGTTTGAGGATTCAGTTGTTACAAAAACAGTTTAATCTTTTAAAGACATGATCGTTTTTAAAAAAAATTAAGCCTGTATTAACTTTAAGTTTTAAAAGGATTTGTGATAAAACCAGACAACACATTTTCAGTTTTCCATTGACATGTGTGAAAATAAGGAACCAGTAGGAATTCATTCAGTGTAATGTTTTTTTCCTTTGTAACATTTGTAAAAAAATGCCTTTTAGGATAATACAAAAGTCTGACTTTTGTTTCTGAGAGTTACAATTTATTCATTGTTAGATGTTGTGATAATCATTTGTTTCAATGTATTTTCTGCAAGTTTTTCATTTTTAAACATTTTTAAAAATAAGGTATTAAAGGCGCATGCCTTTAATCCCAGCACTCAGGAGGCAGAAGCAGGCGGATCTCTGTGAGTTCAAGGCCAGCCTGGTCTACATAATGAGTTCCAGGACTGCTGGGGCTACAGGGAAACCCTGTCTCAAAAAAGACCAAAAACAAACAAAAAACAATATTCTCGCCAGGCGTGGTGGTACACGCCTTTAATCCCAGCACTTGGGAGGTAAAGGCAGGCGGATCTCTGTGAGTTCTAAGGCCAGCCTGGTCTGCATAGTGAGTTCCAGGACAGCTGGGGCTACAAGGAGACCCTGTCTCAAAAAGACCAATAATAATAATAATAATAATAGTCTCATGTAGAATATAATTTTTTAAATGTAGTGAGGTCTACCCCCCCTCCTGTGTGCAAGAGAATAAAAAGATGGAGGTAAAATATATACAGCCTCAACTGACTGAAAGATGTTGGTGTTTCAAATGAATTACAGAATACTAGAGTATGGCCATACTTTAAAAACTGAATTTTATTCTCCTGTGGAGTTACTCATCTAGAAAACAGGAAGTTCCCTAAAACACTGTTGACACTTCCCTCTATGATACAACAGAAAACTTACAGGGCAATAGGGTTTCTGTCAGTCATGAGCTACATATCAACTGTATTTAAAGTAGATTTTATTTGTAAATGTCACATAATTACCCGGTGCTTTACTCTATGTTGATTCCATTTGCTGAGTGCTTGTAAATTGTCCAATATTAATAGTAGAGTACATTAAACCTTTCTGCCCATAATAATACTGGAGATTCTAGGTAGCTGTTTATTTTAAAGAACTTTAATTTTCCTTCACATGTAAAGCAGTTTGTATTAATACATAGCTTTTTACTGCCTCGGCCGTATCTAAAGACATGCCAGGATGGCCTTGAATAAATTAGAATCAGAAGTGTAAAAGTGAAGTTTCTGATACTTTGGAGACATGGGAGTAGTCTACTTGGGTTCTTTTTTAGTTCTATTTAGTAAAGTATAGCTTTATATAGACATTGTCTATATAAAGCTATACTTTACTAAATAGAGCTTTTTCTTGGCATTGTATAGACATAGCTTTGATGTAAATTGCAAAAACATCTATAACCTATTATTCTGTGTACATTTTTTTTTCATTTTCATCGGATGCATCAAACATGCAGCGGTAATAAGCCAGATTCTACTCAGGTGTGTGAGAGCACTTGCCTTAAATTCACTTTTTCTCTAGTGGATGTCATTATGAGCTACTATGAACACAAATTGATCTCAGAAACAGTTTTGAAGATACTCTTGAACCAAAATTTTAAGCATTTTCATTTTTATACAAACTGTATAACATCAAAGATATGGGGGCGGGGACATTGTAAATGGTCATCACCCACAATTAAACCACTTTAACCCTGTCATGATAACTTACCATTTTTGACAAAACAATATACTAAATTGGGAGTTTTGTTTTACAAATCATTGCTGTTCTGGCTTAATGTTTACACCTCTCATTCTTGTCCCCCTTAAAGTCATTCTTTAATCATCCTGTTTTCTTTCAACAGCTTCAGAGGATGATTCTGAAGAAGATGGAGACCATAACAGAACATTTGATATTGCCTAACTTCGTTTAAGACAAATGGATGATATGTGAACATGTTAATTAAAACTGGCAATTACATGAATAATTTTGTGAGGGAATGCCTGTTAGCTATATTGACTATATAAAAAATGAATATATATACATACGTGTATAAATGTAAATATATATTCATTCTCAAATGTTGCTGAATTAAATTCTGTGGCTGGACCTTTTTAACATTGGCCAGCAAATCTGATGTTTATAATATGTAATCAAAAGCATTTTTCTTTTAGGTGAGTAGGAAAGCATTGCCCTTGTTTTAAATATCTAAGCATTGCTCATCAGCCTTTTTCTGTCTTATGATTACTGTAGTCATATTTATACAAAATTTTGTGTATTAGTCTCTTGCTAGTGAGAAAAATCAGAATGTCCTATTGAAATAAAATGCCAAGTGGCACCTAATTAGTTTTCTTTTTAAAATGCCTTAAGTTGCAACCACATTTTGATAATCATTTATTTCCAGTGTTTCAAAAAAATTTTAAAAGAATAGGTAGTTTTGAAGACCATTATTATATTAGGTTTCCAAATTTAATTTGAATTTGAAATTCACTTAGCAATAAAGTCTAATTTTTAAAACAAGTATGTAAAAGATGTAGAAATGATGGATAACTTTTGTATTGATTTGCAAAATGCAGATTATATTTGATAGGCCATGGTATGTAGGTATTCCTTTTAGGAATATTTCAGCTATAAACTATTATCAGAATTGCCAGTCAAATGATATTGGTTAAAAAATTATTAAAATGTCAAGTTCACAGAATATTTTTTTAAAGCCCACATTCAGAGTTTAAAACACTGGTTTTCAATGTGTTTTTTAGTGTTGTCACTTCTTTCTAGATAAATATAAATAACTATTTGGGTCCTGGTCATTTTTAGCTGTATTCCTTGGAAATTATGAGCATTTATTTGATGATTGTTAATATTTTTCAATACCTTTGCAAAACAGATGAACATTACTTATTCAACATGAATGAGTTTGCACTATGGTCATGAGTTGTGTAAGCATCCATAATATTGTAAGTTTCCACTGTCAACACCCTTAGGGTATACATTTTTACTTTGAGATGGTTTCAGATTAGTCCAATGTTAATGGCAACAAACAACTTTTTCAAAACATACAAAAAATATGATGTAATTTCTCAAATGTGAATGAACAGTTTGCCTACACTTAGTTTGTTGGTCTTATGTAAAACCTTGGCTTGAAATAAAGTGATACTGATTGATTTATTTTACAGTTTGAACTGTTTCTTTTTAAACTGGTGCTCAAAGAAGACTCCAATCCTTATAGCCAAGAATTTTATTAAAACTTCAAGTCTCATTTCATAGTGTTTTAAAAATGTTTTCACAACTTGTAACTATTATCTTTGCATTGCCTTAAGGTAAAAACCACAAAATTTAAGGATGCCAGTTTGAATATTTTCTGTCCTGAGGAACTGAACTTAAAATATCAGTGCTTATATAGAATTCATTATAAAAATTATCTTCGTTTGTTTTAAGACAGTTTCACTATGTAGCTCTGGCTGGTCTAGAACTTCCTAGATCAGCCTGCCTCTGCCTCCAGAGTGCTGGTCTTAAAGGCATTCCACCACCATGCCTGGCCCAAAAATTGTTTCAAGAAAATATTCTGCAATTTATATAATCCCAGTGCTGGGGAATGGAAATACGAGGGTTGCTGGACTTGTGGTCATCAGCCTAACTCCAGATTTAGTGAAAGACCTTGTCTCAAGGGAACAAAGTGGAGAAGTGATGGAGCAGGACACTTTTGTCCTCCTGGCCTGTTGTATATACACATAAATGTGCATCTACACAGACAGGTGTGCATATACTGCACTTAACATCCCCAAAAAGAATAAATGGGAACAAGAGTCATTGGTTACTAGTTTTAAATTGCACACAATCAAGAGACCATGTAATAAAAATTCCTATGAAAATATACTTCAAAATGTTATTCTTTCTCTATGTATATTTACCTAACATAAGAATTGTCAAGACTTGGGATGTGATTCAACTATTGTCATTGATTGTTGGGATCAAGATATTGAAAAAAGCAATTTATTCTGACTACATTGAGCAAGGCTTCTGTTACTGTTAATACTAAGTAAATAATAGCTTTTATAGTTTTATCTGTTAACCTATAGTTTTATCTATAGTTTTATGATTTGATGTCTAAAGGTCAGATAGTTCAGTCAGTATAGGTTGATCCCCAGAATGCACACACACACATACACACACACACACACACACACACACACACACAC